TGGATTTCGTTTATACGGCATAGCGCTTGAACTGATATGAAATGATTCAAACACAATTTACAAATCATGGCAAATAGAACCTATTGGACTGAATCAGAAATTGTTATCGTTTGATTTTATGATCAAAATTTAACTAACACTCCATTTACAAAAATGTTTTTACTCAATGTATGTTGACAATTTTAGAATAAAAATAACCTGAAAAAATACTATTCCACCATAACAGTTTTCCAAGAATATTTTGTCAAAATGATGGTAAACCTGTGTGTAGAAATCAATGACATCAAACATTTAGGTATAAAAACATACACACCTATTTGATCGCTTTCAAATGGTTCCTCAACTTCTTTTAAGTTAGCCAGTAATCTGATATCTGTACATATTTTATGTATACTGCCACCTAACCCTGCCAAGACAGCTAATACATCAAAGTCCACCTTTCTACTGTATGTCTGCCCAGTAACAATGTAGGAACTACAGAAATGTGTAAATAAAAAAAGATTATTGGATTGTATACATTAACGAAAGACATGCAATCACATCGAATAAATTGTTTTGGTTGTGATGAATTATCATTTTAGTGTCAGATGGCGCTCTTGGCGTTATAATAATACAGCTTCTGATTGTTTTCACCACTAAATTATACTTCCTGCTGCATAATTTGGAAAAATATAGCATGGAGATTTGAATGAGCCATTTTTCTAACACCTCAAGATCTTGTGTTATGCATGAAATCAAACATAAAAATAAGTCATAGAGTTGTAGAAGCATCAAAACATCACATAGGATTTGACAAACATGAAAGTATGTTTTAGGGATTTTTATATTTGGAAGCTATAATATGAATATTTATGAGTAAACACCTATAGTTGGAAGCTACTATTTGAATATTTATGAGTAAACACCTATATTTGGAAGCTATAATATGAATATTTATGAGTAAACACCTATATTTGGAAGCTACTATTTGAATATTTATGAGTAAACACCTACATGTATATTTGGAAGCTACTATTTGAATATTTATGAGTAAACACCTTTATTTGGAAGCTATAATTTGAATATTTATGAGTAAACACCTATATTTGGAAGCTACTATTTGAATATTTATGAGTAAACACCTATACTTGGAAGCTATAATTTGAATATTTATGAGTAAACACCTATACTTGGAAACTACTATTTGAATATTTGGAAGCTATAATATGAATATTTATGAGTAAACACCTATATTTGGAAGCTATAATTTGAATATTCATGAGTAAACACCTATATTTGGAAGCTGGAATTTGAATATTTATGAGTAAACACCTATATTTGGAAGCTAAAATTTGAATATTTATGAAGTAAACACCTATACTTGGAAGCTATAATTTGAATATTTATGAGTAAACACCTATACTTGGAAGCTATAATTTGAATATTTATGAGTAAACACCTTTATTTGGAAGCTATAATTTGAATATTTATGAGTAAACACCTATACTTGGAAACTATAATTTGAATATTTATGAGTAAACACCTTTATTTGGAAGCTATAATTTGAATATTTATGAGTAAACACCTATACTTGGAAACTATAATTTGAATATTTATGAGTAAACACCTTTATATGGAGCTATAATTTGA